GCTGCTATAGTTTTTTGAAAATTTCCTAATAAACTTTGAATGACTTATTAGAAAGAACCATCTCGAGAGAAAGACAAGGATATCTGTCCTACTTTTTGTTTTATTTATTTATTTGTTTTTATTTTATTTTTAGGGCCTGGTGACAACCAATACTTACACAAGGTCGATCAATAAATAACCAATACTGTTTTTACACTGAGTGTAACTTGCTTTGGGACAAGAGCACTTAAAATAAAAAAAGAAAGTACAGCATATATGGATTAAAGTTGCTGAGAATGTCAGAATTAAAATATACCCATAAGTTTATTTTTAAAGGCTTACCACTAATGTAACAGTATTCGTTATCTACATTTTTGTTTTAATTTTTTTACAATGACTGGGTTTCATGGGTAAAACCATAATTGAATAGGTACAAGAAATAATCAGATGGTTTAAATTTAACTAAGGCATTAGCATTTAGTTTAGCATAGTGAAAATAGTATGATTTGTGGGAGGCAATTAACAATCATTTGCTCTGTGGATACAAGTAATTTGTTTAAAGAGCACTGACCTATGAGACAGCTAGTTTGTGTTGGCTGTGATGGAAGGGAGCTATTGACTCTAAACAGTGTAACAGTGCCATTGACAGAATCACATTTGAATGCACACAAAAGATCTTTAAAATACTTCAGAAACATGAGATCTTTTCAGAGGGTGAAGTGGGGTGGGGGTTAAATGAGGCAAACTAGCCAAAACAGAGATTCAGATACTGAAGGAAAAGTAGTCAAAATGAAAGAGCCAGGACAATATAGTCATTAAAGAAGGTTTTTTCCCCTTGATATTGTGCTAGTGTTGAAGAAGAATCTAACTTTTCCCCCCATAAATACTTTATCAGAAGGAACACAAATTGTGAACAATTATTGGTTGAGTAATGATTTCATAAACCTAAAATTGAATGCAAGTCTTTATGCAGAAATAATAATTTTTATGTTCACATCTAGTAAATGTATTGCAGACCTGGGGATGGTTCCATGTATTCAACATTCAAGCTTTTTCTGTGTCCATTTTGGACATGTTTACTTTTGAATGCCAATACCTTGTTTAGCAACTCGGATCAGTATACTGCAAACCTACATGTTCATTCTAAGTAATTTATGGTAATTTCTCTAATTGAGCAAAAGAAGTTACCAAAATGAGGGAAGGTTACAAAAATATTTGGGTGGAAAAGGTCAGCATTAAAAGTTCTAAATGAGTATATTCATGGTATGCTGAGGACCTTTGTTTGAAGAAATACTAATATCAATTGGCTTGAATTTCTTTTGTTTAGTAGGAAACCTTTATGCAAAATGTGCACTTTAAGAAAATAGTAGTACACTTGCATAAATACAGTGCAAACACGCTACTGGTTTCTTAAAGTGAACACATAAAATAATTCCTCACACCTTTAAAACGTATGCATAAAAGTAGTTTCCACTGTAACATAATTTCATTTAGAAGCATACAAATCACAATTTGCCTTAATCAAATAACATTGCAATGCTCATATTCTAATTAAAAAATAATCTCTGATATTTAATTTAAGAACCTAGAAGACTTCTACCAGTAAAATGATTACTCTAACCTGTACAGAATTGCTCAATTTAACTATGCAGAGAATTTTTCAGGTAAGGACTATTTTAATTACTATTAAACAAGCAAATGATACACTATTAGGCAAATATTAAAACAAGTATTGCATTCAGTTATTAATTTGCACTATTCACTTTTAAATGCAGCAAATATCTCATTAATTTAATTTTAGGTGCCCACCAGTTTATATTGCATTTTACAGTCTGGAAGGCAATTTACTATTAACTGGCAATTACATACAGAATGATTGTTAATTCTGCTCCTAAGTGCTAGCTGCTTGAAAATTGTTATCTCTCTCTAATTTTTGACCTCCTTACAACAGGGGTGAGGTATACTGGGAATACAAAGGACTAGTAGAGAAGAGCTGGACATGTCATTTGTGACTCATTCTTTTAATTCACCGTGCTAATCAACTGAACTGCCACAATCTCCCAAGGTAATTGTATCTTTATAATACTTGAAAGCAGTGGGCAAAAAGGCATGGATAGATGGGGATAGGCCTTCCCTTAGCCTGCTGAGAAACAGCACAGTATCCTTACTATGTGTGACTAATAGGGCCTGTTTTTGAAAAATCTGGTACTTTCATATCACAGTACACAGATCATTTAATGTCTCAACTTCTATACTTTACAAAGGCTTTGTACTCCACACTACACTCTTGTTTCATTATTCTGCAGCCTCGTTGCCCTATGGTCCACCTCATGCTGAGAAGGTTAAATGTTAGAGTGCCAAGCCAGACTGCAAGCATGGTGGGACACTGATGGGAAACAGATGCCCTGGGGATTCAGCCCCTCCTTACTATAGGGCCACATAATTTTCATATTGTGAAATACAGTGAGGCTTGGCTCAGTTTTCAATGGTGAGTGTAATTTCCAATCATTATCTCATTGTCCCCATCAATTTAGGGGCAATGCAAATCAGACAGAAGTTTCCAGGTCAGACAGGCTCTGACCCTACCTTTCTTTTTACTTTTTGTTGACATATAGGCTTCTGTATCCCTTACAAAGTGTTTGAAATGTATATTTCTGTTAAAATTTTTATTTTATTTTATTTTATTTTATTTTCGCAGTAAATTAATTGGAGCAACAGCAGTTATGGAAACTTTGATGATTCATTTAAACATCTTTATTTAAAATGTCCCTATGAATCCTGGTGAAAGAGAACTCCAGGGTAGGAAAAGTAAATGGCTCCTTTCTAAAACTTCATTTATTTTTGCACTTTTAATTTAACCTATGGAAATTTACATTAAAATAACAATTTATGGAATTACTTAGAGCTATTAATATAAGGAAAGTCAAAAGTAAGACTGAATATTTAGGGACAGATGCTCATCTGGTGTAAATCAACATAGCTCTGTTGCAGACAATGGAACTACATCAATTTACAATAGCTGAAGAAACTGGAGTTTAGTCTAACATTTGTAGTTAATTCACTTTACTTTGCTGAATACTGTTGCTTACAGAGCAAAATAACTAGTCATTGTTTGGAGACCACTGCACAAATACCTGGTAACAACAGTTAGTTAAAGTATGAAGCTAGAATTCCAATATTAATTCCCTGCAGCTAAGATAATTGAATCATATACTTCCATGATGTTTTACTGTAGCTTTATGTGGACTGATTTCATTTGTGTGTATCATAATATTTTTAAAGACTCTATAATCATGACTGGATTAGCCAGTTGCCTATAGGTAGCCCATTCAACCCCAGCCAGCTTTGCAGTTACCATCTGCTTAGCATACCATATGAATAAGATGGTGGTCTTAGGCAACGTTCGCATTGTAGAGAGGTCAATATCACCAAAACCACCACCACCGCATTTGGCACCCTTCTTGACAGTCTCAGCAGAAAAGCCAAGAACTGAACAGACAGGGAGACTTAAATATCCTCTCACCCGTGGAGGTGGGTCCTTCCAGATCAGAGCTGAGGTACACTGGAGGGAAAACTTACACTGCTCCTGCCCAGGTTGTGCCTGTTTTGTGGATAGATGGAGGACTTCAGTCTCCACGGCTATCAATCCAGCACCTTTCATGAGCACAATATTCATACTAAAGGCTCAATCCTGATCCCACTGAAGCTAATGGCAAAACTCCTATTGACTTCAGTGTGAGCAGGCTTGGATTCCTAAAACAATAATTGTTTTTAAAAGTCTCAATAATCTGCTCATAGTTTTCAAAAGTACCCCAAATACACATTTTTTCCAGCAAGATCAAAACAATTAGACAGAAACAGTTATGGCCTATGGGGAAAATACCAATCTAAAGTGTTTTTATGAAAAGCACATTATTTACCGAGTAGGCTTTAAGGCCCAGATCCTCAAAGGTTTTTTAGGCACTCCCTTAATGCCCTTAGTCATCAATTAAGTCCCACTTCAGCCCATATCTATGGGACTTAGGTGCCTAAATACATTGGAGGATCTGGGCCTAAAATCTCTCCCAGAGTCACTACATTCTATCAATTTATCAAATAAACATTTAAGAACTCTTTGATGTTTATTTTTAAAGATGTGTGTGACACAACAGAACAATTCATAATACACACATGAACATTTGCAATAGTAAGCATGTGTGTATTATGGACCTACTACGTCAAATCATTAACTTAAAAAAATTATGAATGTGATTACCATTCATGTGAATATCAGCTTTTTTCATCTCAATATCTTAGTTGGATTCATTTTTTTAAATGCCAAAAGAACTTAGTCCATATTTTAGACAAAAAGCCAGAAATGTTTCATTTAAAAGATGAATTCTTTTGAGTTCAGAAACATTTGTAACCACAAAACTTCAATTTTTTCCTTGTGCTCTTGAAACTTAAAATCAAACATGTTTAAGAGAAATTTGGTTTAAACAAATGACTTCCAGGCTGCAAACTTTTTGTGCCAAGTTTCATCTCTGAGAGAATTTTTACAGCCAAGTTATTAATCGGGATGGATGAAGTGGTTTGGATATAATAAGAAATACCTGAACCATTGCCCTAAACTTTAACTGAACCATTACTGAGGTTCAAAAAAGTTTGGAGAACTTTTCTAAAAAAGTATTGTTCGCTGCTGAGTACTTCTTCACTTCCTGTTTCTGGCTGGAACAGAGTGGGAAATGCTGTTGATATCTATATATAAAACTGGAATCTGGAAGTATCAGGCATCTTGTGACAGAGAGCCTGATCTCAAGATATCAAGACCAATTTTCCAGACTGAAGCAGTTCAGATAGGCATTGGAGCTTTTGGGTGCTTCCCTGATCTGAGCTTCTGAGTTATTCTGAGCTTTGTCCACTATTAGTCAACCACTCTGTAAATGCTGACAGACCCAATATTGTGAATGTACCACGGTTATATTCTAATCTAATCTGTATCTGTAAGAGAGGGGAGATATTACTCTGAACTTTACACTTAC